AGCGCCAACGTTCGTAGCACCATCTGTTATTAAAAATCGACATGAGAAAGGGGTATTAAACGCTCTTAAGCAGAAAAACCCGCAGAAAATTTAGCAGAAATCATTAACATTTTCAAAGATCAGAAAACCCTTTTTCTCATGAAATCAATAACCACAATAGTTCAGAGAATTAAATCAGCTAAATCAAATATGCAGGACTTTGCCTAGCTTTTCAAGCCATTGAGATGATTCCGAACTGTGCAGATAAATATTAATTCCCAGCTTCTCTCAAGACAAGCATAGCTGAGCGGCAGAAATTCTCAAGTTGCAGATCCCCAGATCGTGGGGCCACGTTTACTTCTCTTCTAGAGACTCTGCACTAGGTGCAAAAAGTACGTTCCATCTTACTGGATTCAACTCATCATTAAAGACACCCTACTTATAATATATTGGTAAAGGCCGCAGTAGGCCGATTGCCTCTTAATTGTGTTATGACATAGACATAGTTATAATATGAACGAAATATAATACTGTTCAGTAAACCTAGCGCCAGAGTGTCGCTATGGTAAACAAAGTGAATTTTAAAGATGCATTTATTCTATTGTGGTTTATGCGCTGTCGGCGAAGTAGGTTTAATTCAATCTAATAAATTGAATGAAATGCAAGAAAAAATGCGTATAATTTAATATTGCGTACAAGGAAGTCATGTGGTGTACACATCAGAATTTTTTTTTAATGAGTTGTGACAAAGATTTTATTTCAAAAAGTTTAATTAATTTTTTAATATTCAGATGAATGGGTTTCACCATCAAAGACATTTTATTAGGCGTAATATTTTAATCGGTGCATTCACCTATATAGAATACATAGATTGATAATGATTTCCATGCAGATTTTATTCATTACTATAAAAATATTTTAGTCGTATGCAATTGCTTTTGTATTACAGAAACAAGAATATTTCATCCATATAGAAACTAAAATTCTAATCTTAAGTAGGCTTGCAATCTCTTAGGCAAACCCAAAAGTGAAATCCCGCCTGGGAGCTGGGAGTTACATATTAGTGCTTGTCTGATCACGCACCGGGAATAATGCAATAGGCTTCTCGGCTGAAGGATCGATTCAAAACTCTCAAACTCGCATTTCTGGAGTTCTTCGCACCTGTTTTCTAGATTTGTGGCGTTAGCGTTTCTGCAAAGCAAATTTCTCATTTCCTCGTACGAAATGAAAGCATCAGGAACAGATCTCCATATGTACCGCAAACACTCCAAATAAACAGCAAAGTGTGGTACGCTGTAGTTTAAGAAGTTAACCAAAACTTCAATAATAGCAGCTTCCCTTGCTTTTAGATCAGTTCGTCTTGTTTCCAACACCCTATGAGTAATCCTGAAAATAATTATAATTGAAAGATAAGCATTTCCAAGATTACATTTTAAAGCTATGCAGTTACAAAAAAAAACATTGTCTAAAAAATAAAAAAGAGGAGTGAAGCAAAACTTAAGACGCTATTTGAGTTGTGCGCAAATGCTTATATTTTCGAAACTACAAATCCTACAGTCAATTTAAATGCATCATTAGAATAGACTGAAAAAGAGCCCATTTTCCGTCTATTCTAATGATGCACACACACACACACACATTTTTTTTTTTTAATAAAACTGGACAAAGGTACACACTTACTAACGCGTCAAAAATAGAGAAATTCCATAGACCTTATAAGAAAGAATATATCTTAATCTTAGAATATTATAAGAATTTGTTAATCCATTTCATATTTTGTAACTTTAACGAAGTTTTGATTAACAAACTCAACGAGTTCAAAGCAAGCAATGGCAACCCTGTACAGAAAATAACATTTTTATCTCCAACGCGGAAATTCTACAGGTATGCCATTTTCAAATATTTTGTGATATTGCTCTTGAATTGGGTTTTATGTGGTTTACTTGCGAAGAACATGATATTTAATAAATAAAGGTAACATACAAAACGTTACAAAAAACGCTGCTTTGGCGTTTCTGAGTCAAAAATCAAATCTGAGTGATTCCAGAGTTTATCTTTTTTTTCCTCATTACACTCAGAAAAGTTTATGCTTCGAATTTTATGAATTACTAGCATAAATAATTATCTTGCAATGTTAATAATTAATGATTATATAATCAAATATATAATCATCTTGTTATGTTATAATAACTTTTAAACTGCCTGAAAATGCATCATAAAATCAAAGAAAAATATCAGATCTTGTTTAATTTTACTTTGTTTCAAAGCATCATGTGCTATCAATATTATTTAATTTTACTTTATTTGTACACAAAAATAAGTTCATATAAGTTTTGCGTTTAGAATTTTTACCGTTTTACTAATGTAAAGAAATTTATACATGAATTACACATGAAAAAAAAAAAAAAAAGGGCGCAAAATGCAGTAAAAAGTGCTTTTATGAGATATATTAAATTTTATTTGCAAAAATTGTGACTTTCATAATCTCATCATTTATACAACGTATCACATTCAATAATTAAAAACAGTTATGTGATACAAACGCCATAGGTTTTCGTGTTAATGTAAGCCAGATCGTTCCTACTCTTCCTTGCAGACATGTGGATGGCACACGCTCCGTTTATTGGGTTAGTCTATCTCTTATAAGGTCCATGGCGCAAAGCTGATGACGAAAATTTGTAAAATAGTGTACATAGACTTCGTATTTATCCTTCGTATATCGTTCTTTAGTATTTATCTCATATGTATTCTGTATTCAAGTATAATATTGTATTAATAAAATGTGTCTATTGAGATCTTGCAGGTCTTCCTTTCGTTTTGTCAAGTATTCGTTTTGTCAAGTATTATTTCAATGTACAATAGTACAAACTCATGACTCAACTGCCCAGCATTGCTTCGTCTTGTCGCGCGCTCTATGTTTGCCTTCTTAGCCTTGCGGCCTCTTGTTGCCTCTCTTCTTCATCACCTCAATGCCTCAGCTTTCCACCTCAGAATTTCTAAAGTCATGTGCATTTTGGCAATTCCTCATGAGCTGGAAACAGCGCGCTTCTCGCCCTATCCCAGCAATAATTTGTTTGTTTGATTGATTGATTGCTGATGGTAAAGTCCATGGCGACATGTCGGTGACGCGCGCTCCGCCTACTGGGTTAGTCTATCTCTTATAAGGTCCATGTCCGTGTACGTGCACGATCGCATGTGAGCAGCACCCCCTGAATAGTTCACTTCTACGGGATGTTGGTGTAAGTGGCAAGCACGTCTGGTTGAAAGTCTATGTCTTCGGGTGGTGTTTGCTGTATCTCGTACGAAATTAAAAGACATTTGACTTTATGAAACATTATTTTAATCTGCGTAACTATCCAAGTACACTTTCCAATTAATTTATAGATTTAACATGTAATAGGAATATAACTCCAGACATCTTAAATTATGTGTCTTATTTCTCATATCGTCGACCCATTTCGCAAAGAGTCATTTTGAATGAATAGATGTAATAAATAAAATATGTGTGTCTAAAATCTTTTGTTTGTTTTATTTGTTTTATAACATCCTCCCACTTTCGTTAGTAATCCTACGTGTTAACACCAGCGCTTCTTTACTCAACGAGAAAGCTTACTTTTTTTTATCTTCAGATTTTTAGCTGTGTATAGAAAAAAGATTTGAAGATTTTGAGACAAACCAGTATTATGAAATGGAAATAATGTATATATATTTTTATTTTTCAATACAACAGTATACAGAGTGTCATTTATTGGAACCTCATACATATCATGATTTTCTTTTGTTTTGTGAACAATAGAGTAGATTTTGAGTATCATGTAGCATTTCTAAATCTGGTCTTGCTTAAATCCAGGAACTGCTTTTCAATAATGCTTGTCTAAAACACGTATATTTCTGATGCCGAGGATCGAACCTAGCACGTCACAAATTTTCAGCATTTTACTCGCACAGGTACTGGCTATTAGGCACCTTTGGCCATCAGCTTTATTAATTTCATTAGTTATTAAACAATTAGACTAGAAGAGAAAACTCTAATGTGACAATAAAAATCGTAAAAATAACCTTGTATTTAGCGTAAGTATAATGAAACATTCAATCGATTTCGAGGGCAGCTAAAGGTCCCTCCTGATCAGGAGAAAGAAATACCAAGAAGAAGAAATAAGGAGAAGAGTTCAAAACACTTGTCTTATCGCACTGCACGTGTTATAACTGGCTTTTAATCAAGTTCACTGCCGCCTACTTTTACTGAGCCGGTTACTGATCAAGTATAAGACAAGAAAATTAGTAAGTTAAATAGAGAGCGAGGCAATCACCTTCACGCTCAAAATCTGAACTTCAATAATGGAAGCTTAGATTAGACTCTATAATGACCGACTATGCGAGACATGTTGCGTTTCCAGAATAAAGCCAGGGCACTTGCATAAATAAATCGGACGTGGAGAAAAACCGAGAAAAAGGAGAAAGGGAAGAAGAGAATTCAAAAGGACCAGACAATCCAACGGACAGTTCAAAACGTGACACATCATGCTTTCAAGGACCCAGACATAAATCATGACAACAGTACGAGAAGATACACTACAGCAATGTCCAATGACAATTCAAATACAATTATACAGCATCAATCATAGTGCTAAATCAACACATACAAACAACTTACAACACAATTAATCAACTATTCACGAAGCTACAGAAACTTCAATTAAATCAATTTTGAAGTATAAACAGCTACAATGAGATCTAAGTGAAAAGTTGTCATCTCCTCCCGTGAAGGAGTGGCTGCAGTGGTCTGCGCTCTATCTTCGAAGAGATTTCTAATTAAGATTAAGGTAATTAACAAAGTCACTTGCCAGCTTTGTTGAAGAATTTTCATTAGATCTTCTGATGAATCGGAATGTCTCAAGTTTTAGTCTCTGTGTAAAAGTTTATGGGCAGATGGAATCAGTATAATCGCAGAATTTGTTTTGCATACTTGTAATTGATCAATTGTGTTTGACCGTGTTCCAAGCAGAAGCAGCATAACAAGTATCGGTCGATCAAGTGTATATATGTTTTTTTCGTACGCAAGCTAAAATTTGAATATTCCAATGACCGGGAAATCGCTATTATGCTTTGCACTATTGGTATGATTATACCATGTGAGCCTTTAGTTCAAAAAATTCCTATATTGGCCTTGTGACCAGAGAAAAAGTAGAGATCTTTAAAAGCAAATTTTCTTAGTTTGCTAAGAATTAAAATTTGACTTCTAGCATTGATTTTATGCGCAATTGTGCACAGTTCTACGCGAGAGGTAATTTGCTTTATCTATGCATGATTAGCTGGATGGATATTGCAATCGCCGTATCGTCGGCATAACTGCTAACAGAGAGTAATTGTCCAACCAAGTAGAAGATCTGATATTAGAAAGATTAGTCTGGACGAGATACTTCCTTGTGGGACCTGATCTTATAGTCTGATTGGATTTTCATCTTGAGCGACGAGAAAGTGCGGTTTGCAAAAAGAAGATCAGAAGAATGAGTTCTAGGAAGTCCAGTGATAGCTGAAGACGACCCCTGCAGACGCGGTCAAGGCTTTGCCACGTCCAGAGAACCATACTTTGCTTGTTATGGATCAGACCCAAATTCTACAATTCTTACTATTGTCGAGTAGTACTGAGGTTTTTCTGAATCCGTATGATATTAGGTAGCAGTGAAAAAAGGTTCCATCTAGTGAGAATAGTCTTTCATAATTTTACCAAGGCTGGTAAAAACATAATGAAAGCAACCACTGAAAGGATTTATACCTCTGTAGTACAAAAGCGAAAGGTGAGCCACTATCGGCAATAATGGAATTAAGATAGTAAATTTTAAGGCATAGAAGGACTGGATTGGACTTCAAATCATTAACTAAACCCGTTAAATCTTTGTGAATGTGAAAAGCCTCAAGAAAATCCAATTCACCTATGGAAAGAAGCCTTTTGGATCATTCGCTCTGCTCTTTGCACTGCTTTGGTAGCGTGTGATTGCTGATATAGTTTCCTTTTTTTTATTTTGCTTCGATTATCTTCTGCATAAAATCAAGAAAAAATGCCCTGTCTCCTCAGAAGGTATTTTTGATTCTAAATCGAATCAAAATCAGGAAGGAGTAACCGTGTGCGATAATTCTGATTGTGTTGTGAGTGATGTGGTTCATTGTGCAAATGATTTTAGTATAGCTGAGAGTGATTTTGTTTGCCGTGATTGCTTAAAACTTTCAACTATAGATACAATTTGAAACGCCATGCATATAAATTTCATTACAATAATACTACATTAATTGAGTCTCTGAAAACTAAGTTCTAATAGTATGGTTGATTGTGCAAATAATTTTAGTGTGGCTGAGAGTAATTTTGTATGCTCTGATTGCTTAAAAAC